AGTCTGAGTATTTCTTTCTTGGGATTTAGAAGGAGCACAGTCTGACAAATACTTATGTTCTTTTCTTTAATCAGAATAGTTAGCTTTACCATTTCAGCCAACTCCATTAACTTCTGCATCCATTCTTCCATGGTAAGTATCAAAGTTGCTTTCCATTTTTACGCATACAATAGTCTTGCTGCTGTCAACATATGTAGTAAAAAAAATCCAAGCTTTTTCTTCAGTTCTTTTTCCATGAGTACCAAAAGCAAAAGCTCATTTCTATCTTGATTTTCTATATTAGAATGTGAATCATACTCCAAAATGTTTTTGCTTTATTACATGTCCACCATAGATGGTTAAAAAGTCCCTTCTTTATTTTTACACTTCCAACATTCACTTAACATACTTTTATACATCTTAGATAGCTTATCTGGTGTTAAATACCAATGATACATCATCTTATAAAAATTATTTTAAACTACCATATAATTTAGTGTAAATTTTAAACCCTTCGTCCACATATATTCCCGTTGTTCAAGCATTATAACCAAAATTCCTTGCCCACTGGATCATACAATGCTTTACATGTTCATTTTTTAAGTTCAGTTTCAATAACATTTTATAAATCTTATCAATAATATGTTCATCACTGCCACATATTGAAAGTTCCAATTCATTTTTAACCAAATCAAATCCATAGCAATTTTATCCAATTTAAACCTTTTCAATGCCAACTTTACTGTCTTGCACAACCACTTGTTTTTGATCTTGGTCAGTCACTAACTTCTTTTCTATACCTGTTTCTCCATGTGTGTCAAGGATTAGTTTATATCTGATTAAAAAGTCCTTACCTTTCTCTGTGGAATTCAGCCTAAATCTTTGCTCATGGAAGTTAAGTATCACTCCTTCTAGTCTATCCCAGCGAAATAAAGATTTTTCTCTGCTTCAAGATACCAGTAAGAAAAGCATAGGCTTTCGTTTTTCTCAAAATTCTAACAGGAATTTCCTTCAAAACGATATATGTATTATCCATTTTCAACCTATGCTTAAAATGACAATCCAGAACCTGACCCCTTGTTATTTTTTTACATGAACTAGAACATCCCTTGGTAGCTTTCTCAAGGCAGCAAATCTGGAGTTTATTCTATATGTCTTTATCCATATCCAAATCTAACTCTCCTTTTCTTTTATTAGTTAACTGAGCTTTTACCATCTTTGATCTGATATCTTCTCCTGGTTGTTCACATATTCCACGAAATCTTAATTGAAATTCTTTAATCTGAGCTTCCAAATTGGTAATCTCAATTAGCTCCGCCTTACACATAGCATTAGACTTTTCCAGCCCATGCTCCATAGAATCTACACTGGCTTTTAGCCATTTCATATCTCCTTTCAGATCTTTAATTTCTTCCAGAGCTCCCTTAAAAGTTCATCAATTTTGTTTCCCAGGTTTGACCCAAAATTTTGAGTCTGTTCTTGCAATTTTAATAAGTGGCTTTAAAAGTTCTTTATCATTAAAATGAATATTTTACCGAGACTACTTTTCCTCTTCCAAATGATCCCCATAAAATTGGATAAAAAATTCTTTGTGGATTTAAATAAAATGACTACGAAATTCGTTTGGGCAGGGAAAAGAGCAAGGATAAAATTGAGTGCATTACAGGATAACAGAAGCAGAGGTGGATTTGGACTCCCTGTCTGGGAAATATATTACAAAGCAGCAGGACTAATGTGGATGAAAGAATTGGCCAATTTAAGAAATAAAAGAATCTTAACTTTAGAAGAGCACGATTTGCAGGCAGGGTGGCATGCCTTCATGTGGAATCCAGGAAATAAGACTCAAACATATTTCCATAGACATGTAATTCGAGATTCATTAATGCAAATATGATGAGATATTAAAAACAAACATTATATAAAAATTCCTGGATGGGTATCCATCATGGAGGCACCCCAAAAACTTTAACCTTAGACTGTCTACTATTGACCTCACCCCTTTCCTAAGAGGTCTGAATAAGCATAAGCGCACCAATGTGCCTATCGTCCCTGTCTTGTTGTTTCTTTTATTTTTCTTATATGTATCCATAACTATGTTTTTACTTCTACCTATTATCTTGTAAGCAACTGACAAACCAAATAAAATAAAATAAAATACAATACACCCCAATGCACTAGAAATTGGAAAAATGGCCAAATACCATGAAGTTTTAGACCCCCAAGGAATATTAAAAACAAATCAAGAACGTAGGGACCAAGGGTTGAATATAGATTGGTGGCCATACCTCCAGTTAAAAACAAGGTATAAAAAAGATGTGGAAGAATACGGAATAGAAGTAAAACCAAGTCAATTAGATAAACTGCTAGAGGGTACAGAAGAAAAAGTAGTTTAAAAAATGTATAACTATTTATTAGAGTTTGAAATGGAGGAGGAATTGGTGAAGGGCCCAATGACAGCATGGGCAAGAAATGTAGGACACAATATTAATTTGGAAGATTGGGAAAGAATTTGGGGGGAAAATTACAAAATAACAAAATTGACAGTATATAAAGAGAATCAATGTAAAATGTGTTATCGATGGTATCTGGCCCCTTTGAGATTAGCCAATATGTATCCCAATTTAAGTTCACTTTGCTGGAAATGCAAACAAACAAGAGGTACCTTCTTCCACGTATGGTGGCTTTGCCTGAAAAGTAAGAAATATTGGACAAAAATACAAACATGGATAAAAGAAATTACAACCTTTCAATTAGAACTTAAAGCTGAATTTTTTTTACTGGGAATAATAAAAGGTGAATACGCAAAAGAAATAAAATATTTAATTTTACATATAATTACTGCAGCAAGACTAGCGCTCGCACAGTGTTGGAAAGGAGATCTTATGCCAACACAGAGTTTAATAATCCAAAAAGTCTATGGTTGCACTGAAATGGACAAACTTACTCTAAAATTGAAAGAAAAGGAAGACTCTGGGAAAACTGTCTGGGAAAACTGGTACAAATGGATAAACAGAAACCAGCGAGTAAAGAAATAAGGATGGAATAGTATAGAGAATAAAGTATGAGTAATAATAAGATATATGAAATAAGTATTAGAATAATATTTGATATATAAGCACCGTCTAATTAATGTGTAATGCGTATAGTATTTTTCATTTTTAATGAAATGTTTTGTATTTTATATTTTGTATTTATCTTTTTTTTTAATAAACAAAAACTTTATTAATAAATAAAGTTTTTGTTTATTAAAAAAAAGAAAATACAAAAGAAGTGCTTGAAAATGGCAGAACTTTTCTTGGAACTAAAAATAGAACTAAGAAACATAAAAAATGTTAAATGAAAGAAATATATTACCTTACAATTATTAGAAATGGCAATTCTGGAGAAAGAAGAACAAGGAGTGTCAGAAGGGGAGGAGCTAATTAAAGAAGAAGAAGCCAGCTTCAACGAACAAAGGAAGCAATGACCATTAAAACGAAGGGAAAAAAGAATGGGAATCAAAACTTGGAGGGTTGA